TCACCCGAGTAGGTCCGACCCGAGTTGGAGTGCTATATGATACACAGCGGTTGACTGACTGTAACTCAGTTGCCAGTCGCCCTGTCCTATACGTTCCAAATTCCCTATCAGCCTGAGGTGGACACTTCAATGGCTGCAAAGAAGGCCGTCGTCGATAGAATTATCGAGCCGACTGATACGCATGCTGAGGATATTATGGTGGGCTAACGCGGTCCCCTCTCCTAGTATTGGCTTTAGGCGCGGTATCGTAATCGCGCTTATCGTTGGGCGGTGGGAACTGATGAAGACTCTCCGCGTGACCGAGTGGGAACGAAAGGGTCCGTAGACCGAAGTAACTAGCGGGAGATGATGACTGTCGTGGAACTGGTGAGGGATGCGTTGTAAACTACTTGGATGCTGCCGCATGACCCGTGATGAACTCCGTCTCAATATGCTTTATGACGCTGCGTTATCTGAACATCGGTCTCCATTGCGTCGGGGATAGCATTCCTCTATGTCCGATCCCCCGCCACACCCAGATGTATGCGTAGCTACACTGGTCATGGGTGACGTTTCCTATATAGCAGGCGCTATGGTCATGGCTCATTCCGTTCGGCGACACTGTTCTAAGAGCGCTGTACCGTTCCACTTGGTTTGTATTGTGGACCGCAGCATGGCCGATGTCGAAGCACTTCGATGTGTGTTCGACAATGTAGTTCAGGTCGACCCCATCCTGGCTGAGCCCATGGGTAAGCGGTGGAAGCGCTATGGAGGCCACTACGATTCTTGGATCGATTCTTGCCTTACCAAACTGCATGTGTTCAATCTGTATAAATTAGGCTATCAAAAAGTGGTCTTTGTCGACGCTGACGTTTTGGTGGTTGATGATCTCTTCGCGCGGGTGCTGACTGCTCCAGCGCCTTCTGGTATATGTAGCGACGAAGCGAACAAGCTGGATGGTAAAGAAGGTCGCTTACGGGCTCTCAAGACTGGTGATAAAGTACCCGCAGCATCCCTGAGGAGAGCCTTGGCGTTATCATATGGTATGCGGGGTTGCCTCATGGTACTACCCACTGGTGCCAAGCATTTCCGAAAGTGCCTCGATCGAGTGGCTGAGAAGGAGTCACAAAACGATGGATACGTTGGAAGTGAGCTGAGGGAATGTTCACCTTCAGTTGAGAGTTTTCGCTGGGGAAAACTTCGGTCGTTAACCATTTCTGTGACAGCTGCGATTTATTGAGTGCTGTGCGCA